GGTCAACAAGAATGTATGAGATAATCCATGGAAGATTTTGAATGTAACCCAATCGAGGAATACTATAGCCCTAACTTAAACTTCAGAACTGTCATATGAGCAAATAATGAGAGAGATGAATGATTTGAATTCTAGGGTAGAAAATGAGATGGAAGAAAATGGAGTCACAAACATTTATTTTCAGTATTAAAATTTATGATGGTTCAGTTACATATTGTATATATGTTAAAGGGGGCAAAGGATTGAAGTAGTAGCAGTAGTGGTTTTACTGTGGTTTCTGAGTTATCACTGGGCTACAGCTGGCTTGAATAACTCAGCTAAATATTGTCTCCTGCTACACATTTCCAAGGGCATCCAATTTTAATAGTAACTTTTTAATAATATAATAGGAGCTACACATGTTGGTACCATATACCAGAGGCCCAAAACTCTTCATTCAGTATCCTGTGGGCACAGATTACTGAAACTGCATTACCGAGATATAATGTGGCAGGATTAACACTGCAAAGAACTAGTGGGGCTGTAAAAGAAGCATTATCTGTTACAGTATTCCATCTAGTTGTTTTCATGCTGAGGATAAAAAACAAATGTTGGCCTTTAAATGGTAGATGATGGTAATAATCATTCAGTAATCATTAATGTAATTGTGCAAAATATGCTGATGATTTCCATGTCATGTGTACAACTGCGTTTCTGTTTCCTTTTCTGTATGGTCCATATATTATTAAGAACGCTTAGGTATACTTCTGCTATGTCTGGAATCCCATCTGGTGAGGGTTGATGGTTAAGGGAGTGGAAGGGTGTGGAAGATCAAGTACTCCTTCCCACTATTTCTCCAACAGTCTCCCCTCCAACTTGCATAGGGCAATTTGAAGAGATGATGGGGCAGCGGATCACATGAGTTCAATGGCTATGTTAATTTTCTGAATGAATAAATAATAAATTAACAGCCTTGGGCTTCATACATAAAGGGGGGAAAAAGTCTATCCAAAGCATGATTCAGCATTTGACAGGTTGATGTTTTTCATTAATCCATTAAGATATAATCCCAGAGTTATTTTAGTATATTAAATTTCCTCACATGTCCCAATTATCATGAGAAATATATAGAAATAGGATGTGCTAAGAAGAAAAAGATCAGGGAGGAGACTGTGGTAACCCAAACATTCTTCTCCCGAGCCTTTCAGAATCTTGAAAAGGTTCTGGTTTTTCAGAATGTGTTTTTTTTTCCCACCTCATACAAAGTAGACTAACGTAACTGAAATAAGAAGTGCAAAATACTACTAAAATATACGACAGTAACGTTTATCTAAATTTCTTTGCAGTAATGCTAGTTTTACAAAGCTACCCATCTGAGCTAATTTAGTTCCCACTTTCTCCAAGCATCAATATTTTCAATAGTTTTGTGGCAGAACAGAAGGTCTCCCTTTAGCAATAATGCATTTCCCTCATCCTTTCATAAAATTTAAAGCAAAGCTGTTCCCTAATAGATTTTAGCCAGACCAGGCCAATTGGGACAATGGAAACATCACCCCTCCCCAAAGCTCTGCGTGGGTGGTATGCAGGCAATTATTTTTAATCGTTCACATTCATACAATGAATGAAATGTGTTGCCGGCCTGTAATTTCAGCCTCCCTATTAGTCCTGGTTGAATCTTTATTAGTTTGCTCATTATTTACTGTCTTTAAAAAAAGGGGGGGGAAAAGGATAACGAACACAATCACTCTCCCTTTGGCTAATAACATGCCTAGTTAAGAGTGATTCTATTCTCTTTCCATAATCTAAAGAGGATGGCAGAGGTGACATTCTCCATTGCCACAGAAGAACAGAGCAGATGGCTCCTCATGGCTCCCCACTGACCAGGCCTTCACGAGGCTTTGATGTCAGCTAGTAGCCTGCCCTCTCAGGTTATATGACATAAATACAGCTGGCCTAAAGGAACAGAGCTCGGCAAGGGATGCAGGAAGTTTGTGTGATGCATGCAAAAGATTAGCATGGAGAAGAGCTGGTTGATAATCATCATGAAGAATCATCTCTGAAGGACAACCAATCATCATTTAAGATGGGCCCTTGTTTATCATTAATGCCTATAACTACCACTATGGCTGCTACTGATGATTTTAGTAAATATAAAGTGAATGTATAAGCAAGGGTAAAATACAATCAGATATTCTTCCCATCTTAAAAAGATTAACAAACTGGAAGAACAGCTATAGCCATAGTCCCAAGATCTGAGCAATATAGTTTGGTAATGTTTAGAGAATTTAATCCTAGACATTTTAATCAGCGGTGAAATCCAGCCGGTTCTACCTGGCTCACGCAAACTGCTAGCGCTGGCGGCGGAAAGCTCCGTCCACCCGCCGGGATGTCATTGTGTCCCGTTTTTTACCTTCTGTGCATGCGCAGAAGGCTCTGCACATGTGCAGAAGTGGCGCACGTGCTCCCATTCCTGAACCGGTAGCAAAGGTAAGTGGATTTCACTGCTGATGTTAATCCTGTTGTGTATGAAACTAGGCCTCTGCCCAAATATGTATACATAGAATAATATTTTTCAAATAGGTTTTTTTTTTAAAAAAATATTTTTTTTCAAATAGAGAGTAGGTTTGGCATGACTTAATGCTATGACAGAAGAAACAAAGTTATCTTAGAAGTATATTGTGTAGTTTATGAATTACGCTCTTTTCTATGAATATGTTTAAAAAATCCATAGTTCAGGAAAATTAAGAAGCTATAGGCTTTCAAAAATTCTAAAACAATAGAGAAACTGTCTTTTTGAAATCTACCTCTGGAATATACTCAGTTTCTTTTGAAAGAATGTTACACTAGGTTTTATCTTTTTTTTTTTTTTTTTGGCTAGGTGAGCTTTCACATATCCTTTGTAAAAACAAGAGCAAAATAAAACAAAATAAATGAAATAACAAGCAAATATCAACTTGAGAGAAAGGAAACTTCATTTTTTTATAGATGATTCATTTTTATTAAAAGACTGCATGTATACAAATATGAAGAGAGCAAATTTCAGAAGGCCAAGCACTGGAGTGGGGTGGGAGGGTAGAATATATAATTATCATATTTTCATCACACAACTACACAAGTTAAAATTTCTTTCAGTTTGAAAGAACAAACAGTATTGTGTTTGCCAATATTCATTGTCAATTTATTGAAAAATACCAAAATATGAAGGGCACCTCTATATATTTATTCCACAACAAGTCTATCAATTTTGAGAAGATGAATATTGAAATGCTAAATCTGGCATATAAAAAGAAGTTGGTTTTTTTAGCTATGAACTGTGGAGTAAAAAAAAATATCTTAGAACATTATGTAATGATCCTAATAAATCAATTAGATTAACATTTTTTTTTACCACACATCAGTTGAGGACTAAAAGTTCTCTTTTCTAATGAAGCAACTAACAAGGTCATCCCAGAAAGACCTACCTGACTAAATAGAACCTTCCCCTGATGAAGCAACACAGTTGTTGTCATAACCTAGGCAGAAAGGATTAGTTAAGAGCTTTAAATTCTTCAGGCATAACTGGATTGCAGCATAGTTTGCATAATATTCTTGTTCTGAAGAATTGTCTCACCAGCGTTTGTCATTCTGTATTCATTTATAGAAGTTCCCACTTTCCCTTATAAAAAATAAATCACAATAGCTCTTGAAAGTCCCTTCATTTCCCATACTATTTAAAAATCTTGAACAACAAAAACAAAAACAAGTACTTTCATATTAAGTTGTATTAAACTCTTCCAATAGCTAGAGCTTTTTTTAAAAAAGACAAACTTATTACTCTTCTATATCTTGTGAGTCACTAAGTTTATATCCTTCTTAAATCCAATAAGACTCTTGGGGGTTTGCAAGATACGCATCTAAAATATCCATGATGTATATATATGTGTGTATGTATATATATATATATATATATATATATATATGTATATATATATCATATATCTGCCATGAAATTATTATAAATGGTAGAAAAACCTATCATAAATATTAACTTCAATTAAACTTCGATACTGATGTTGTTTCAAGCTGTAAATTAAAAAGCTCCTTTTTTTTTCTTTTTTGCATTTCCTGAATGAAATCAGGAAATCCCTAACCCCCCCCCAAAAAAAAATGTTGCAGTGAAAAGCAGTGCCTATTAGCTTTGCCTCCCCAGTCACAAGTGGGGGTATACTTGGTCTTTCTCCCACAATGGTAGAATTGATTTTAACGGAAATATGCAGTTGTGAAGGTAAGCAGGTGCCAAGACATTTTAGGCTTAATAGATCAAAATCAGCATGTTTAATTGCATCTGGAAGCCTAGCGTAAGCTAGGGCAAGGCCTGGGGCACAAGTATAATGTGCTCCTTCTTATAATTGTAGCTTTTGAGTGGTATTTAAAGACAGTTGCTATATGTGAATTCAAGCCTAACATTCTTGTATTTCAATCTGGAAGCGTGGCTCAGCCACTGGAACCGTTGGACAGAAAAGTAGCCAGATTGCTACTCCTTAGGAACCCTCCGCAATCTATCTTCTATCTTCAAGCAAGCTTCCTTCCTTCAATCCTCTCTCCACAGAAGCTTAGCGCCACCTGTCACTCCCAACCCAATTACCCTTTCAGGGAGGTCTCAAATTATCTTCTTCTCCAAACAATGAACATAAATGGAAAAGCCAAGATGAAAAGGACAACATCCATGCACAAAAGAGACTGTAACGCTTAAGCATTGCATGCAGTGACTCTCTGCTCCCATTGTAATGAGGAGGGCAGCAAACATCTAATTAGAACAAATGAGTGATTACCAAAGTTACTGGAAATGGTATTCAACTCAAGCCAAATTAGGAGCTGGCAGAACAATAAGTCACCTGTGCGTATCAAAGCTTGTTAGCAATAAAATAAAATTTCAAATGCATCATCTAGAAGACAATATTTTTTTTCAAAAAAAAAAAATACATATACTGTATATTAAACAAGCTCTTTTCTATAAAAATAATACTGTGAAATTGTGGCTGTACGGTTGGACTCCTTTATATAAAAGCCACTCATTTTCTGCCACAGAGGCTCTTCATAGCTTTTGTCACACAGCACACACAATGCATCTGAACTGGAAGATCACAGTCAAATTGGGAAGAAGGTACAGAGAACCACCACCAGACTTGGGGGTGGGGTGGGGGGAACAGGGAAATATTCAATGAGTCTCGTTCACTGGTTAAGCCAATACATTCATTGCAAAGGCTGCAAATTATTAGTGTTTCTATTTCTTTTCTTTATGATTTCTTCTAGCTCATCTGCTCCTTTTCGCTACTGCTGTTGGCTTGCTCTGTTTCCACATTGCCTCCAGACAGTTTGGAGGACGGTTTGCAACAGATATGTTGCAGCACTGAGAAAAATGGAGGCACTCTTGCTGTTTGATTCCCACCCAATCCAGCCATTCCTGGAATAAAACAGAGATTCAGTACAGTTCTTATTTTGGAAAAAATACAGCTCAGAGGGAGAGCTGATAAAAGGGATTGCAATACAGGTAGTCCTCAACTAACAAGTTTATTTAGCAATGATTTGAAGTTAACAATGACAAAAAAAAAAACCAGTGACCTATGATCATTTTTCACACCTATGACCATTGCAGCATCCCTATGGTCACCTGATCCAAATTCATATGCTTGGCAACTGATTCATATTTATGACGGTCGCAGTGTTCCAGAATCAACTTTTGTATTCTTCTGACAAGGAAAGTCAATGGGGAAGCCAGATTCACTAACTTAACAATTAAAAACAGAAAGTTAGTGTTACTAACTTAACAATTGCAGTGATTCACTTAACAACTGTGGCAAGAAAGGTCTTAAAATGGAGCAAAACACATGTAACAAATGTCTCACTTAACCACAGAAATGTTGGGCTCAGTTATGGTTGTTAAGTTGAAAACTATCTGTACTAAGTTGCAGAGTGATGCACAGTTATATAATCACCCCAATTCCAATTCTTCTGCATCTATTTTTTAAAATAGTGCTCTGGAAGACGTTGTTTAAGCAGGAAATTTCTTTAGATGTGCTTTATGTCACAGTACAACTATTGGGGATAGAAGATACAGTTTATCTCCTTTTCAATTTCCCTCGTCTTTCTATCATGCTACATCTTGGCACTCTTGGTGGTAAACATGAAAAAGTCAGTCAGCAAAAGATGGGGAAATGGAAAGGAAAAGAGAGGGGGAACTTGGATATTACTGTTGTCAGTCTTGATAGATTCATTTGGCATGCATAAAGCACCTCTAATTCCATGGTAGTTCCAAGAAGCCTTGCCAAATGCTTTGGAGTTTCTCCAAGCATTCTCATTTAAGACGCCTATCTTTTCCTTGGCTATAAGCCCTAGAACAGAGGTAAGCAATTTGGTGGATGGACACCAATGTGCTTGCAGCTGTCCTGTTTGGTGGTAAAAGCTTTCGACTCTTCCTTCTGTTTAAAAAAAAATAACAAGGAATGTGACTGTTGGAAAGCAAAGCAAATGACAGTTACAAGTAGATCAGCTTTAAAGGCACTCTTTAAAGAATTTAGACTTAAGCGGCTTCAGCCCAAGTCTTCAGATCTGAGAAGCTTCTTGGATGAAAAGTGAAATGTCTTCAAACAAAAACAAGGAACTCCAGTTGCCTCTTGAAAAAGCACCGTTGGGACTACTGAAAAAGTAAAAACATATTTCATTGGATCAGTAGCATTGAGCCGTAGTGGTGCAGTGTTGAATGCAGTACTGCAGGCTACTTCTGCTGACTGCCAGCTGCCAGCAATTTGGCAGTTCAAATCTCACTGGCTCAAGGTTGATCAGCCTTCCATCCTTCCGAGGTCGGTAAAATGACCTAGATTTTGGGGGCAATATGCTGATTCTGTAAACCGCTTAGAGGACTGTAAAACATTATGAAGTGGTATATAAGTCTAAGTCCTATTGCTATTGCTATTTCAAAGGATTTAACCATTTGGTTAAAAAATTGACATCCCTACAAAGCAAAAAATCTAAAATTTTCTTTGAAAGCAATGAAAAATTGGATTTCATATTGAGGGTTTTGTTCTAAAACCTTATAATTGCTTGTCAATTGTAATGTTTAATCCACATACATATACAATTTCTCAATGCAGAATTTAAGATTTAATCATATTTCTTTGATGTCATGTTTAATTTTAATTTCAAATCTATGGGATATATAGATACATAATACAACTTAAGGGTCATTTAATCTATTTGAGCCGTGGTGGCACAGTGGTTAGAATGCAGTACTGCAGGCTTCTTCTACTGACTTTCGTCTCCCTTCAGTTTGGCAGTTCAAGTCTCACCAGGCTCAAGGTTGACTCAGCCTTCCATCCTTCTGAGGTCAGTAAAATGAGGACCCAGATTGTTGGGAGCAATATGCTGACTCTGTAAACTGCTTAGAGAGGGCTATAAAGCACTGTGAAGTGGTATATAAATCTATGTGCTATTGATATTGATATTTTGCAAAATCTCTGGATACACTATTTGACTTTAGATGGCAACAGTGGTGAAATCCTCCTAAGATCGCCACTGGTTTGTTGCCCGTGCATGCATGATGCATGCCAAATATGCGCTGCACGCATGCATGCATGGTGCATGCCAAAAGCACGCTGCCCACGCATGTGCAGTCCACACCAAATGCACACTTTGCATGGAAAAAGAAGACTTTACTAGGTTAGAACAGCAAGGGGGGGAACAGCTGTGCCACGCGATTTAGCTTCGCTAGAAAGCAGGATTTCCTGCTTTCTAGCGAAGCTAAACCGCACAGCACAGTTGATCGTCGGAAATATTGGTTCACACAAACCAGTAGCTTTTTTTAACTACCGGTTCCACCGAACCAGTAGCTTTTTTAACTGATAGTTTTTATGACTACCGGTTCACCTAAACCGGAGTGAACCAGTAGCATTTCACCCCTGGACAGCAAGTTTTAAATAAGAAGGTTTGAACTCTTTTCCATTTTGATATGCTAGTTTTCTCAGAATAGGGAAGCAATTAGGGGAAAGAAATTTGATAGAGGTATTACTACAGATCTTGAGAAAGAAAGATACTTGAGAAAAACCTCTATTCCATATCAGTATTTAATTTTATCATGAGGCCTTGCATTCCCCCTCATCTCTTGGTTGGATTACTACAATGTGGTCTACATGGGGTAGAATATTTAGAAACTACAACTGGTACAGAATGCAGCAGTGCAGACAGTTCTGGAGGCCCCTCAGATGGCACATGTAACTCCATTGTTGTGTGAACAGCACTGGTTGCCAGTTTGCTTTCCAGTCCAATTCAAGGTGTTTGTCATTACATTTGAAGCCCCTTATGGTATGGGTTCAGGGTATCAGAGGAGCAATCTCACCACAACGGGATTAGTCTTCCCAACTTGCTCCAGCGAAAATTATTAAGGAATTTCAACTGGCAGAGTCAAAGAGAAGAAGCTTTTCTGTTGTGGCCCCCACCCTTTGGAATATCCTTCCCCTGGAAATGAGTCTGGCCTCCACACTTTTCATCTTCTGAAAGAGCCTTAAAACCTGGCTCTGCCAGCTGGCCTGGTGTCCCAATAGGGGACTCTACACTGGGGATGGCTGGTGGGCTACTGAGAAGATTCCCCGTCCATATGGCACCTATACTCTTGATTTTTAGTTTCTTATTTAGTCTTCTTAATTGTAACTGTTCTCCAATATCTTTTTTCATTTTGTAAGCCTCCCATAAGCACTGCAACAAAGGCATAGGTAGCATATAAATTTAATAAATAAATACATTTTAGGACTAGAATAAACTATTTTCAACTTGTAAAAACCCCTCTGCTTAAAACAGTTGTGTTTTCATCCAAGGTAGATTTTGGAGATCTGCTTTGAATATCTTTTTTTTAAATGACATATTAATGCAATTTGTTGTCTGGACTTCATCGCACAATTTGTGTTGAAGAAGAAACATGGAATTACATACAACACAGAGTTTGATCTTACTGCTCTATTCACTAACAAGCGTCTACCATTCTCTATATTTCAATCAGCGATAAAAAAGTAAGTGGTTAGTGTGTGTAGAAACGTTGTTACTAAGGTGGATATAAATGTTGGAAGTTGGTGTGTTTCTTGCATATAATTTGAGCATTCCTGAGAGCAGGAAGCTGACCTGAGCAAAGATTTGTAGAACAGCTCTTAGATCTATAACAGAAAAAAGATGTATTTACCAGTAATGGATTAGAACCTAGCATCTAGCAAGCTACATCACACCAAGGGAAGAGTCCTAGACCATGTGTTCTGCCCCTGTGTGTGATTCCAGATTAGCAGCCTCTTAGACAAAGAGCAGGCAAAATTCTAGACAGAAAGGCACAGAGTAATTCCTTTCTCTCTATCTGCCCCCTACTGCCCCCTTGTGGTCAGTAGGTCACGAGACGCTGAAGAATCAGTGCCATTTGTTTTGGCTTTCCATGACTAAAAATAAATAAAAAATGGATAGTTATAAATAGGCAATGGTAAGGTAGGTAAATAAAGTTGCATTTCTGTACTTTTAGAAATAATTATTGATCAAATTTGTATGTTGCCTGGCTCTCAATGACTCTGGATTTCTCAAATAACTAAAACAAAGAAAATGCGGTAATAACCGGTAAAAAAAGTAAAAGATGACAAGGACAACAGACTGAACAAGAAAGAAGGAAAAACGGGCTTCATTCTTCCTCACCAAAGGCCTGACTAAATAACCAGGTCCTCAAGGCCCTTCTAAGTACCAGCAGAGTGGGAGCTTTGGAGTATCCTAAACTAGGAAACCAAAGTCATGAAAACCCTTCCTTTATTATAAGATTATAGTAACAGAATCTTGCAAGTCTGAATGCACCTTCCTCCCCTCTCCATTTGTCTACAATACAACTAGGGAAGGTCAAGACTGAGATGTTTACTCCAATTACACTCAAATTTCTTTTGTTTGACCATTGTCTTAATTGAGGCTCTTCCCCCAGTTCCTCAAGGTTACTCTTTTTACACCATCTGAATTGCAATTTTGGTTTTGTACACACCCAGATTCTGTTAGAGTTAGGTGGCTATTACAAATTTTATAAATAAATAAAAAATAAATCAAGGCCACACAGTGTCACCCATGTCAGAAGCAGCATGTCTCTACATCTTAATAACTGGAAACATGAATAGGAGCATACCAACCTTGGTGGGTTTCCATATGTTGCTGAATGCTTGACTAGAGAACCTATCATCTAGATCGGCTTTTCATCCAATACATTTGGATGTTTCTAAATTTAAGGCTATGGTCAGGGAGGAGGAGAGAAAAGGTAAGTCAATAGTGCAAAAAATAAAAAAAATAAAAAAAAGATCCCCCACCTCATTACTGCTGAGCTTCCTTCATTCATGCCCATTAACATTAACCATCCGCTGTGCAGCACAAGAGCTTTAGGATGGAAGACCCATCACTTAATGTCACAGTTCATCTTTTCATGCCAACCCCCTTCCAAACAGTGTCTTCAGTACAAGGGGAGACTAGGTGTGGCTTAAAATCCCAGATTCCAATTATAATGGTCAACTCCATTCATTCCATTCCAGCTTCCTGCCTACCACAGATTTTCTTTTCAAATAGTCAGCCCATCTGTCCATCATTCCCTATGAACATTCAGAAATGCTTCCTGATGAAGGTGTCCAATGAAATACCCATTTAATCCAAAGCTGCAAAATAGTCGCCCTTTTCCTTTTCTTTATCGTTCCAACTGTGAGAGAGTCGCTCAGTGGCATTTGTTGTGGAAAAGGATTTCATGACTCTTGACCCCTGGAGGGCTGCTCTATGACCCACCACTTTTCTTTACCATCTGGCATGTTTACTTGAAGCAAATGTGCCAGTTCAAAGGTCAGCATAGACATGCAAAGGGCAGCTTTGTCCTAAAAGTTGCAAAGAATGGGTTGGTGTGCATTTCATGCAACTGTAGCTGAATACAACTAGGCAAAATCAATATTGTAGTTCTATAATGTGTGTGTGTCTGTATACATGCAAATGTTCAAACATGCATATGTATATGTACACACACACACAAATACACACACACACACACACACACATATATATATACATATATATATATATATATATGTGTGTGTCTTTTTCTTTTTCGTAGGCTTTTATGTGCATATTCTTTCTAGCCAGGTTTTACCTACGTAAACTAAGTTGTTCTGCAGCCCTGGTTCTGTGAAATCTCAGCTCACTGACGACGCCTTAAAAGGCAGAAATAGCTATCTGAGTCTCCCAGAGAGCAACACAGAGTTGCAGTTTGTCAACAGAAAAAAAGCCCAGAAGCTTGTGAATGAGGTTTCACAGAACCAGGGCTGCAGAACAACTTTGTTTACATAGGTAAAACCTGGCTAGAAAGAATATGCATATATATATATATATATATATATATATATATATATATATATATATATATATATATATATATATATATATATATATATATATATTCATGTTTGTGTGTGTATATTAGCAATGACTACAAGCAAAGAAGGCTGTGATACATACAATGCAGAGGCTTTCAGTCTCCTTGGAAGTGAGAGGAAAGGGTCTCTTTTTATTGGTCAGCATTGATACATTACACAAAAGACTGGACATAGCCTAGAGGCCTTGAATCATGAAGATTAGAAGTAGGCCAGTTTGAGTAAAAAAAGATATCATGACTCCAGCTGTCAGGTCAACATTTGTTTACATCATTCCCTCCCCCGCCCCAATCAAAAAAGCTCTGCACAAATTGGTACTTTTATCATTTTATGTCTTTTAAAGGACTTGCGGGAAATCACTATTAAACGTGGTGTGTTCTTTTAAATGAGTACACTGTTCATAAAATATAGGAAAGGGAATTATAGCTAGGCTAACGTTATCATTTGGCTGCAAATGCTTTCCCTCTTTTGGCTCAAATGTTTTTGTCATTTAAAAAAAAGGTATATTCTGTCACTTTTCCCTCCGACTTCCAGAAGGAGAAAGAGGAGCTTTTCTCAAATGGGATAGAAACATGAGTGGGCCATTGCATATGTGCTCCTACTTTTAACTTTATCAAGCTAGAAACAAGAAATAAGTATGAGGCATCTTTTATTGATTTACCAGCAGAAAAGAAACAAAACCTATTTTGGGAGGAAGGAGTATTGTTATGTTCGCTGCCTTGGTTGTATATGGGGAAAAAAAGGCAGAATAAAAAAAAAGACCTTGTGGGGTTTTATTTACCCGGGTTTAAGGGGATGAGAGATGAGCAAAATATGTGCTCTAGTGCAGTAGATGTTGTTGTTTAGCTCCCGGTCCGATTACCCTGTCTACAATTAGCCAAAACCGAATCCTATCTGAATCAGCTAGTTTACGGGTTGATGCTGGTGTTATCTGATCCCTTTTATTTCCCTATGCAGCCACAAAGAGAACTAAGCTTTTATTCTGAAGAAGGCCCCTTCTTACATGAAATATTCTTTCATCCATATTTAATAGTGCAGCTATATAAAACTGTATTAGATGCAGACTACAAATAAGGATGTTGTTTGAGTCAGAAATTCCATAATGCTCTTCTTGGCAGATAGCCAGATAAATCAAAACAAAAACAATGAAACAATCTTAATGAATCTTGATGTACCAGCCAATTATGAACCTTAGCATTTTTGTTTTCTTGAGAGAGGAGTCTCTTTTCAAGAGAGATCACCCACCACATAGCTCTGTTAAGATTGTTTCTAGCTCTTCAAATATCATGCTGCTTTCAAAGTTTCAGAAGGGGTACAAATATTTGGCAGAGGTACAGAAGTCTGAATTAAGGGCGTACGTTCTATTGAATCCTTATAGAACAGTAACAATAGTTGTCAGGTGATTGTTGCTTCAAAAGCAATTTATACCCCACAATTTATTTCTGTGGACTGGGAAATATTTGTTACACAGTGCATAGGAAGCCTTGTTTGAACCAGTGATTGCATAAGGATAAAATGCAGAGTAAGTGGGGGAAGTGTACATCCAAGAACATTTTAGTCTGATCCATTAGACTATTTAGTTGCCACTTGTGTCATGATGAAATGACTAGTAGCAGGTGTGTTGCACTATGTTTATTGAAAATAAGGCCCACCCTGAAATTCTCTTGAGATCTTCAGTTTAGAGAGCCCCAGGCCTGCTATGCTTTTACCTTACTTCCTCTTTCCACTTGCTAATGTCAGCTCCCTTTGTCTCAGTCACTCTACCATAGTGTCAAAATTCTCAGGCATGTGGGTGTGTCAATTTTCAGGGGCAAGCTACTATTTTTAAGTTGTCATTTTCACATTTTTTTGACCGTGTTTAAGCCATTCACATTCTTTTTTTTTTCAATTCTTTAATATTAAAAAAATGCTGGCTGCTCACCTTCCCACATATGAATGAATACATGATGACATCCGAAAATAGTCTCCTGTGAAGGGGAAAAACAACCTTTGTAACCCACAAATATCAAACATATTCTTACCTCTATCTTGAAAGATCTCTGAGTCCTAACAATCACTTGGAGTCAAGCTCCTACCATACCCAATTTACAGATTGGCAGTGGATCCTTTAGTAAATCCCTGCCCGGTGGCCTAGTAAACCTACCTACCTACCTACCTACCTACCTACCTACCTACCTACCTACCTACCTATTACATTTCTAAAATGCCCAACTCCAAAAACAATCCATGGACTTTCACAAAATTAAAACCTGAACCCCCAGACACATAGATAATCCTATGAAAAAGGTGCCAGGTTTTGAACTACTTCACCAACAATGGACAATCTTGAATAAGATTTGCACCTCACAAGGCATCTGCCGGGATTCGCTATATAAATGGGTATAGCATCCTCCCCTCAGTGTGACTGTGGGATCCCACGCCAAACTCAAAGGTTTGATCAAAGGTCAGCAGTCCGGCGGTTCGAATCCCTAGTAGAGGTCTCCTCTGTAAGCAGGGGGTTGGACTAGATGACCTCCAAGGTCTCTTCCAACTCTGTTACTGTTACATCATGAGTGGCTGTAAGCTGAGGGCATATACTGGTTCAGTATCTGATTTATTTTTCCGCTAAAGGATGAGGTACTTCATGGTTAGATGACCTAGACATTGGTATCAGAATATACATCTTTTAACATTCATATATTACTGTGTTTTTAATTTAGAGTGAAACATACATACATACATACATGCATGCATACAAAAATGTATGCATGTTATGCCATATGCTAAATAATAAAATAAATTAAAAAACTTAAAAACAGAAAAAGATGTATGTGTCTCTTTATATCATTATACTGATTTACAATATTTATATTATAATTTGAAATATGTAAATAGTAATTATAATGGGTAAATAAATAAATGTGGTTTTTCTTTCTGTATTCGAACTGCTTTACTCAATAATGACTCTACAAACACACACACACACACACACACACACACACACACACACAGTGTGTACCATGTCCCCACAGGCCAATTACAATACATTTTATTTATTCCCCCTCCCCTTAAGAAAATGTTATTAAATTTAAAAATGCTGAAAGACCACACGTCAAATGAGTAAGGCAACATGGCAGCTAATTCGAACCTTTAAGGCAATTTCTATGCCATTACATATAATATAACTTACATTATTATTATTGTTGTTGTTGTTGTTGTTGTAAATATATATATATATCATTACACATAATTTAGTTTGTGTCTCTGCGACTGGCCTATGATATACACACGACCAAGAAAACAAATGGGGGGGGGATCACAATTTTACCTCATGGCCTGAGGGAAGAGAGCTGCATTTTTAAAGCTTGCTGGAAGGTGAATGGGGTGGAGGCCGAACCAATTCCTGTGGAGGGGATGCTATTCCAGCACAGAGCACAGAGAAGGCCTCATCCTGATCCCACGTTGTTTAATTGTGGGACTCAAAATCCATCTCACACTGCCTGATGGTAGTAGGCCAGGCAGAGATCCCACAGAAAACTTCCCTTTGGAGAATATGGCCTGAGGTCTAACTTCAGGCCTTAGGGTTGGCTTATGAATGGGAAAAATCTGACTCTCTTTTATAGGATAAAAGTAGCAGTGATTGTCCCAGGAGCCCCACGCAGAACTGAGATCCACCAAAAATACCGGTAGCCCTCAACTTACAACCATAATTGCCCCCAAAATTTCTGTGGTTCGGTGATACATTCTGTGCTAACTGAGCTTTGCCCCATTTTACGACCTTTCTTGCCACAGTCATTAAATGAATCGCTGCAGTTGATAAGTTGGAAATCCGGTCGTTCAGGGAATCTGGCTTCCCTATTGACTTTGCTCATCAAAAGATCGCAAAAACATGACTTTGGGACAGGGGTGAAATCCAGCAAGTTCTGACAGGTTCTGGAGAACCGGTAGTGGAAATTTTGAGCAGTTCGGAGAACCGGCAGTGGAAATTTTGAGTAGTTTGGAGAACCAGCAAATACCACCTCTGGCTGGGCCCAGAGTGGGGTGGGAATGGAGATTTTGCAATATCCTTCCCCCAGGAGTGAGGAGGGAATGGAGATTTTGCAGTATCCTTCCCCTGCCACGCCCACCAAGCCACACCATGCCCACCAAGCCACGCCCACAGAACCGGTAGTAAAAAAAATTGGATTTCACCACTGCCTTGGGACACAGCAACGGTCATAAATATGAACCAGTTGCCAAGCATCTGAATTTTGATCACATGATGACAGGGATTTGCTGCAAAGGTCATAACTGTGAAAAACGGTCATAAGACACGTTTT